GTTTGTTTTTTGAGATGGAGTCTTGATCTGTCTCCCAAGCTGGAGTGCAGTGGGATGATTTCGGCTCACTACAACCTCCACCTCCCGGATTCAAGCATTTTTGTTTTTGTTTTTTAATGAGGTAGATCTGGGTTTGGATCTAGTTCTGCCACTTTCTAGTTGGATGATTTTGGACAAGTTATACACCCTGTCTTAGCCTGTTTTCTCATCTACAAAATAGGGATAATATGAGGATTAAATGAGAAAATGTACCCCATATGTGGATATGTATCAACAAGTATTGTTCTGTTTCTCCCTTTTCCTATGTATAAATTCTACTTTATCATTTCTTTATTGTTGGAGCACCAAGTTTCATGTGGTATGCAGTAGATGCTCAAAACACATTTGTTAAATGTATATGTGATTACTGAATGTGGTAAGGATAATACAGTAGGCTAAAGCTGAGCATAGAATTTTCTTTTGTCAAAATTGGGTTTCTCTTTTCATCTTAAAATATGAATGTGTTGAATATTCAATATTCATTATATTCAGTAATATTCAATATAGAATGCTTTTGCCTATTGCATATTTTAGAAAGATGGTGTCAGCATTTCAGTAATTACTATTATACTGTGATAAAGTTAGTCAGACATTGATTGAAGCTCAAGACTTAAAGGAATATTTTTGTTTGGGTCCTAGACTAGCACGAAATGAATAAAGTGAGGGGGTTCTTGCCTCAGGCTCAAAAATTTAAATAAAGACAGGACTAGTAACAATGACAAGCCATATAGGAGCCCAAGGCACAAAGAAAATAATTAATTCTGATCCCATCTTTATTTAAAATTTTGGTATTTTATCATAGGATTTTTGCATTTATTCTATTTTTTTTAAATACTACATTAAAGTGCTTATCTGATCACTGTGAAGTTTTTTGATGCCTTTTTAATTTTGCACACAAGACAAATGTCTTTCTCCACCTTCGTCCCAGCCCTCGGTATGTACTGCACACTGCAAAGTGGATAAGAGGATGATTCAGGCCAGGCAGGCCTGGTCCTAGTCACTACTTTGGCACTTAACAGCTGTGTGACCTTGGTTGACAAGTTACTTAACCTGTTTTGCTTCCATTTCTTTCTTTATAAAGCAAAGATGTAAATAATAACACCACATGGGATCATTTTGAGGTTTAATTAGTTAATCCAACAATGCCTGACATAGAAAGTACTCATTATTTCTATGCTCTTTATTTTCATGTCAGCATACAAAATTACTTCTGTTAATTTTTTTTAAAAGCTAGTTCTCAGCCGAGTGCAGTGGCTTATGCCTATAATCCTAGCACTTTGGAAGACTGAGGCTGGTAGATCACCTAAAAATACAATATTAGCTCGGCGTGGTGATGCATGCCTGTAATCCCAGCTACCCAGGAGGCTGAGGCAGGAGAATCACTTGAACCCAGGAGGCGGAGGTTGTGGTGAGCTGAGATCGTGCCATTGTACTCCAGCCTGGGCAACAAGAACGAAACTCTGTCTCAAAGCTAGTTCTCCAGTCTGGGCAACAAACCCCATCTTTATAAAGCACAGAAAAAAAAATAGCCAGGCAAGGGGGCGTACCACAGCTGTAGTCATAGCAGCCCAGGGGGCAGAGGTGAAAGGATCACTTGAGCCTGGGGAGGTCAAGGCTGCAGTGAGCTATTATCATGCCACTGCACTCCAGCCTGGGTGACAGAGTGGGACCCTGTCTCAAAAAAAAAAAAAAAAGCTCTATGAGCCTTTCTGTTTACAGGTATTGATCGACTTACGACCTATGCAACTTACGACCATTCAACTTTACGACCACAATCGCTAGCCATGACTGCTCCGCGTCTGGCAGCGCAAACGTTGCCCAGCTGGGCGTTCTCCAGTGCGGACCAGCTTCTGGCAGCACTACCATCTCCGCATGCATATAGCCTGCTCAACTTACGACCAAATTGTGTTACGACCGGTCTGTTGGACCCAATCGTGGTCGTAAGTCGAGCACTACCTGTATATTTATTGTGCTATGGTGGTCTTCACTCACCTATCCAACTGCCTTGATTAAATACCTACTTATTATTTGGCTGTGTGTAATCCTTTATATTTGCTGAATTCAGTATTTTGAGTGCCAGTTGGGCAGTTGGCTAAAGAGAAATATGTACTCTGTTCATTAGAATAATTAAAAAGTAAACAGGAAAGAAAATGTATTAATATTTATAGTTTTAATTTTATGTGTTTTAAAATAAGTTCAGAATGAAAGAAAAATTGTCTCCTGACTTCTCTTTCAAGATTAGCTTGGATTAGAATTGCTCATTTACATTACTTCTCCCAAAAGTAGTTATAGAAGTCTGGGGCTCAGTGATGGTGTAAATTATAAATACATCCAGATACATCTTTGGGAATCCCCAAATTCATTCAGAAATGTTTATTCAGGCTTTAGTATTCTCTAGAATCATATTTATTTATTTATTTATTTTTAAAGACGGGGTTTCACCGTGTTGGTCAGGCTGGTCTTGAACTCCCGACCTCAGGTGATCCACCTGTCTTGGTCTCCAAAGTGCTTGGATTACAGGTGTGAGCCACCATGCCCAGCCTTAGAATCATATTTCTTTAGAAAGTTCTGTGTTGATATGCACCCCACCACAAGTTAAATGCTGTTTCTGCATTTACTAAAGTTTTATCTGTCATTCGAAGACCATCTTCAGAAAGAAAACTAATCACTACAGACACATAAAGTACATATTGTGGACCTTTGGATTATTAGTGAATTGCCCAAACTGTGACTATTAAATCCTAGTATGTTCTTCAAATAAGTAGTAGATCCTTTGGATGTTGATGTGTTAATTTAATTTTAAGGCTGTTAATTCCTTGAGCTTAAAGTCTTTTTATAATTTTTACCTGTTTTGTGGAATCCTTGTGTTCTCAGATGGGAGCAGTCTATCCCTGGAAATAGAAAACCTCTAAACCAGTAGGGCCCAATATTGGAAGGACTAGAAGCAAATATTTGTTACAGGATCATTAAGGTGCAGTGGAGCAATCTTGGCTCACTGTAACCTCCTCCTCTCATTTATAAGTGGAAAGCAAAACACTGGGTACTCACGGACACGAAGATGACAAAAAAATAGACAGTAGAACTACTAGAACCAGGGAAGCGCTGAAAATCTAACTACTGGGTACTATTCTCACTACCTGGGTGAATGGATCAATCCCACCCCAAACCCCACCATCACTATATATACTCATGTAACAAACCTGCACATGTACTCACAGAATCTAAAATAAAAGTTAAATTTTTTTAATTAGCTGTCAAATTTTTAAAAAGTAACAGTGGGGTATTGACTAGCATTGTGTTACTATATACCTGCACACACACGCAGTTTGGGAAGAACTGAATTATTCACAACTTTTAGTCTTCCCATTCCCATCTGCACATTTCCCACCTGCATATTTTTGTGTTTTTTTTCTAATTGAAATATTTTCCCCCATTACAGTTTCTAACTAGTTAGTTGGCGATTACTAGTTACTGTGAAACAGATTTGTTCTCATATCCTCTGTACAAATGGCTTAATAGTGCTTAACGAGTTTATTGTCAAGACATGGAAGGCTGCTAAAGACAAGCAAAGTAGAATCATTTCTGCCCCTCAGCTTAGGCAGCCCTTGAGGAGTAACTTCCAATTGCTCCCTTCTATCCTTTTAATGTTTCGAAAAGAAATGTAATTATTGTGGTTCTTAAGGCAAACAACTAAAAAATCTTGTTGAAATGTATTTCTTGGAGGAATTCGGGGCCTCTCTTCAGACTCTACAAGTCATATGCTCTATTAAAGATAGTTTCCACAGTAACTACTTGCTGGCAGAAAGGCCATGAACAGTTCTCACTTTCTGGGTCACTCTGCAAATGAACACAAAAGTCCACCCCATCCCTTACCCCTAACGCTAGGTATGACAATTTCATCTCCACAAAAACGTATTACTGCTAAACACCGAGAGGAATGCCACTTTTCTGATCAGATGTCAATTTACAATCCTTCAAAGCTCAAAAGCTACTTTTTCCTTTTGTCAGCAAGCCACTTTCACCCTCGGGTGTCTTGTACATATTGGTAGGTCACAGCAAACATTCATTGAATTTTAACTGGGAGGCATTTTGGATGGAAATCAGGAGACCTGGGATTAACTCTAAAACGATGTCTTGGTAGGAGTGTTATGCGGAACTGTAATGATTTTTTGGTATAAAATAAATTATACCAAACAAATGAACAAAAAGCAAGCACTACGTGTTTCTCTCTGAAAAAGTCTCACTCTGTCACCCAAGCTGGAGTGCAACGATATGACCTTGGCTCACTGTAACCTCCGCCTCCCAAGTTCAAGCGATACTCCTGCCTCAGCCTCCCAAGTGGCTGGGAATACAGGAGTGCACCACCACACTGGCTAAATTTTTAAAAATTTTTTGTAAAGACGGGTTCTCCTTATATACTTCCCAGGGTGGTCTCGAACTTCTGGGTTCAAACGATTCACCGGCCTCCGCCTCCCAAAGTCCTGGGATTACAGGCGTAGGCCACAATGCCCGGCCTCATATAAATATGTGTGTGCGTGTGTACACACACATACATTTTTTAAGGACCTGGTCCCCAAAGCACCAATTTCCCTCCATAGTCATTTAGAAAACAAGGCTCACAGAAAAAACACAAACAGAAATAATTTTGTCTCTGGATGATCATAATTGACGATCCAAAGCAACCTTAGACACTGCCTTGCTTAGATTGGAAAGGAGATTCCGGTGATTAGCGAAAGACGACTCCTGCACCCCTCGTGTGAGGGAGTATCCGTGAGCAGCCGCTAGGTAACTGTAGAGGCAACTGTGACCAATGCCCTTGTACAGCCTGCAGCGGAAAGCGGAGTCACTTCAACCACCGCCACCCGAGAAGCCAACTGCCTACCCGCGTCGGAAAGCGCACTGGTTTCCTGGGTTACCGACCTCCGCACTCCTCCCGCTTCCTTTTCCGGCAGGCGGCAATATGACGCTCTCGGCGCGTGACGTCGCACGCTGTGGTATAAATAAAGACCGCGCGGGGGTTGCTTCCTCTGTGCTCGCGCGGCCGGCTCGCAACATGGCGCCTGTGAGTGACCGACGACTGGGTGTTTGTGCGGCATTGCAATGATTTTTGCTTCTGTCGAGTGGGGACGTCTCAGTCGAGATGTAGGAAGGGGAGGATTGGAGTCTGGGTTAGGAACGTAACCGAGACGCGAGGATCCTGAATTGTTTTTCGAGACTTCTGGCAGCAGCCACGCGGTCTAGTGGAGTTGGAGCTGGGCCTGGAATTGGTTTGGGGTGGGTAGTTGGGCACGCGGGTAAGGGGGAGGCACAACTGTAAATGGGCCGATGGTACTGCAGTCTGTGCTATTTCTTTACTCTCTCGCGCCTGATAATGCGTTTGCCACTCTGCACTAGGAAGGGGAAAGGTGGGTAGTGGAGCCGGCCTGACGGCCTTTGCCAGGTCAGAAGGAGCTCCGGGGCTCTCAGCTCCTGTGCTGGCCGACATCACAGAAGTTTCTGAGAACTTTAAGTTTGGGAAGAAGTTTCTCAAGTCTAGGCCGAGCGCGGTGGCTCACGCTTGTAATCCCAGCACTTTAGGAGGCCAAGGCGGGTGGATCTCCTAGTCAGGAGTTCGAGACCAGCCTAGCATGGAGAAAGCCTGTTTCTGCAAAAAATACAAAATTAGCCGGGCGTGGTGGTGAATGCCTGTAATCCTAGCTACTCGGGAGGCTGAGGCAGGAGAATCGCTTGAACCTGGGAGGCAGAGGTTGCGGTGAGCCTAGATCGTGCAACTAGACTCCAGCCTGGGCAACAAGAGCGATTGAAACTCCGTCTCAAAAAAAAAAAAGTCTAGATTCCAGCAATGTGAAATGAATGTGCATCAGATATTATACTTAAGTCATTAGTAAGGGAACCAGTAAGATGTTACAATGTCCTAAGAATATTTGAAAAGCTAGGTGTATATGTGCAATTTACAAATAAAGTTAGGATAAAATTTCTGGGCTAGCTACAAAACTGGGTAATGCTCAGCATGGCCATAAACCCTATAGGGTTATCTTCCGTTAGACAAATTGTTTGTGTTTCCCAGACTGACTTCTGCACCAACCAACCAATTTGGGTGGTGGGGGGGTACCTGTTACCGGGCTACCTGAGAAAGCAAGCTAAGGTGTAATACTTGGTAGCCGTTTAGATGGATCTAAATGGGTGTTGATAGTCATAAATCCTGATCCGGATTTGTGTATTTATATTGCAGTGAATGTACGTTGTTAGTGGCCATAGCAACATTTTGCTTGTGTAACCTTATTACATGGTCTTGTTATAAAAGGTTTCGGTGCGGAAATTTTGGGGTTTTTGTTTTTCTCTCAAGTCAAGAATTGAATATTCTTGACGTAGGCGGATGGAATCCTAGCTCTGGCACTTAAACTCAGCTTGGGCTAGGAGGTGTACTAATCTGTTCCATCTACAATAGGTGGCAGTAAAACACGATAATTTAAAATTGAACATTAGTGGTATAGAAGACAAAGTCCATAACTTTATGACACTTTGAACAAATTAGGACTTGGTTAGAGGTTCTGATCATCCCCGGAGTGGGTGTTTTGTTATTGTTGTTGTTATATTTTTGTATATGTAACCTCACAATACATTGTACAGATTGCCTCGATACAAACTTTAAAATTGTTTATAAAAATTGTCTTAATAGCCAGGTAATAATTATTTCACATTTATGTAGCAGAAAGACAAGAAACCCAAGAAGTCGACCTGGAAGTTTAATTTGGACCTTACTCATCCGGTGGAGGATGGAATTTTTGATTCTGGAAATTTTGTAAGTATCATTCTACTTGGCTTATTTTTATAATCCGAGTTATTGATAATGGTTTAAGTATATAAATATTTGACAATAACCTAAGCTCTATTCCTAGGGTGCCTTCCCTAGTGAACATCTAGGGTTCTCTTCCCTAGTTTTGCATTCTTTCTGTTTTAAAATAGGAGCAGTTTCTACGGGAGAAGGTTAAAGTTAATGGCAAGACTGGAAATCTCGGGAATGTTGTTCACATTGAACGCTTCAAGAATAAAATCACTGTTGTTTCTGAGAAACAGTTCTCTAAAAGGTTTGTACTTATGCCAATTTTCATTAAATTATAGTTTAGAAATATTTCATATAATATATAATTATTGCATGTATTCTGTTTATATGCAAGAATAAATACGAACTTACTAAAGACCTACGTAAATGAGAAATTCAGTAAGTGAGTGCCAATTGCTTAGACTAGTTTTTTTTATTTTTATTTTTTTTTGAGACAGAGTTTCGCTCTTGTTACCCAGGCTGGAGTGCAATGGCGCGATCTCGGCTCACCGCAACCTCCGCCTCCTGGATTCAGGCAATTATGCTGCCTCAGCCTCCTGAGTAGCTGGGATTACAGGCACGCGCCACCATGCCCAGCTAATTTTTTTTTTGTAGTTTTAGTAGAGACAGGGTTTCACCATGTTGACCACATGGTCTTGATCTCTTGACCTCGTGATCCACCCGCCTCGGCCTCCCAAAGTGCTGGGATTACAGGCTTGAGCCACCGCGCCCGGCCTAGACTAGTTTTAAGTGTAATTTATTGCTAGAATATTGCCAGTTGTGTCCAAGGTTCCTGTCCAGTAAATTATAGGCCCTGGAAATCAGATTTGTTTATGACCTTTAATGCTGGGTACTTGAATATGTTGCAAGAAACATGTCCAATGTGTACATAGGAGAATTGTCTCAACCCACTGATAGAAACCTTAAATTTTTTAAGGCTTTGTTCAGTAGAAGTGGCCAAAGGCAAAGTCTAATATCTTGCTGCCAGCTTTTATTCATTCAGTTTATTCACTAAATATTAGATATTACATGGGCAGCACAGGACTGGGTAACCCAACAGTGAACCAAGCAGGCAGTTTACCCACCAAGGAACGAAAGGAGAGAGTGAAATGGAATTATCAAGCAGTGATCAGTGCTGTAAGGGCATAAAGCAAGTTGCAAAGTTTTTAGGCAAGTTGGTAAGTTGGTCAGGACATGAAATGCAGAAGTGAGCCTTGCAATTGGGGAGTAATTGTTACAGGCAGGATGAACCAGAAGCAATAGTAACAAGGCCAGTGTGTCTGAGGTATAGTGTTTTGGGAGGAATGCATGAGTTTGGAGGGTGCCTGGGAAGCAGATCTTGAAAGCCATAGGACATGTACTGGGAAGCAATTGTTCATTGTGGCTGGAAAAGTCTAGGGCTTGACCCCGGAAGGCAGAGACGGTGAGCCGAGATCATGCCATTGCAGTTCAGCCTGGGCAACAAGAGGAAACTTGATCTCAAAAAAGAAAAAAAAAAAAAAAAAAAAAAAGATGTAAGAGCTAATTGCAGTAAGAGATAATGGTGGCTTAAAGTGGTTGCAGTACCTGTTAATTGAGATTATAATCACTAAGGATTCAGAGATGAAAATATAGCTGTCCTCAAGAATCTTATAGATAATCATATGATTACTACAACATACAACAACTTGGCTGGATGTGGTGGCTCATGCCTGTCATCCCAGCACTTTGGGAGGCCGAGGCAGGTGGATCACAAGGTCAAGAGATCGAGACCATGCTGGCCAACATAGTGAAATCCTATCTCTACTAAAATGAAAAAACTAGCTGGGAGTGGTGGCATGCTTCTGTAGTCCCAGCTACTCTGGAGGCGGAGGCAGGAGAATTGCTTGAACCCGGGAGGCAGAGGTTGCAGTGAGCTGAGATCGCACCACTGCACTCCAGCCTGGCGACAGAGCAAGACTGTCGCAAAAAAAGAAGAAACAAAATACAACTCTAGTTACATTAGATGTGGAGAGGGCCCAAGAATTATCAGAGAAGTTGAGGCTAATAAGCATACTATGGGTTTAACCCTCTTAATAGGTTGCCTCTTGAGCCAGTGTGGAATTGGGAGTTAGGGAGTTTAATAGTGGTGAGGGGGATGTTAAACATTTTCATGTATATACACATGATGTATTTGAAGAGTAAAATCGTATTGCTTAAATAATTGGGCTGTGGCAGTATGACAAGAGGATGCTACCCTAACAACCTTGCACAATGTGTAGTGTGAATGGAAGGATGAAATATTTTGGAGGAAGCTAGGTATAGAAAAGATGAATATGACGTATATTTTCTGTATAATAAACCTTTACATAGTAGGAATTGTATTTCTTCATGTATGTTTTTATTTTAAAGGTATTTGAAATACCTTACCAAGAAATACCTTAAGAAGAACAATCTTCGTGATTGGCTTCGAGTGGTTGCATCTGACAAGGAGACATATGAACTTCGTTACTTCCAGATTAGTCAAGATGAAGATGAATCAGAGTCAGAGGACTAGGCAAAGGCTTCCCTTACAGGGCTTTGCTTATTAATAAAATAAATGAAGTATACATGAGAAATACCAAGAAATTGGCTTTTAGTTTATCAGTGAATAAAAAATACTGTACTCAAACTTTTGTCTCATTCTTTTGAGTATGCTATTTATGTGATTTTGATTTCCCTGTGATAGTTTCCATTAACAGTATTTAAATAGCTTATTGCTAGTAGAATTTTTTTCCCAGGATTTCCAAAATTAATTGCTTTGACAAATGTCCTCAAGTAGCGTTTTATAGGAAATCTGGCAATTTTTTTTTTAGGCAGTCTTCTTAGTCACCCAGGCTGGAGTGCAGTGACTCAGCTTCCCTAGTAGCTGGAATTACAGGTGTGTGCCACCATGTCTGGCTAATTTTTGTACTTTAGTAGAGTAAGGTTTTGCCATGTTGGCCAGGCTGGTTATAAACTCCTGACCTCAAGTGATCCACCAGCCTCGGCTTCCCAAAGTGTTGGGATTACAGCTGTGAGCCACTGTGCCTGGCCTGTAAATCTTACTGTAAAACAATTTTTTATATAGCTGTATAAAATGCCTATAATTGTCTTGACAGTCTCAAATTTTTTAAGTTTATAAACATAATCTCAAGTGCTTAGAACAGTTCTTACAAGTAAGTGCTCTGTATTACTCTTCTGCTTCAGAGTTTTTTTTCTTTTTTTTTTTTTTTTTGGGAAGGGTTTTGTTTTTTAACCAAGGCTGAGAGTAGATCACAGTTCACCTGCTGGACTTCTTGGCTCAAAGGATCCTCCCCCCCCAGTCTCCCAAGTTGCTGGGACTGCAGGTGTGTGCCATGACACCCAGCTAATTTTCTCTTTCGCTCTTTTTTTTTTTTTTTTTTTGTAGAGATGAGGCCTCACGATATTCCCCAGGCTGGTCTCGAACTTGTGGGCTCAGGATTCTCCTGCCTGAGCCTCCCAAGGTGGCTGGGATTACAGGCATGAGCCACTGTGCCCAGCCAGTATGTCTCATACCATGCAAAGTCATAGGATTTTGAGAAGACCCTACAGATCTGCTCCAGTGCTTATTGGAGTGCATAAAACAGAACTCTAGTTCCATGTGAACATAGTAAGTAGTACAGTAACAATAAAATAACACGTGGGAAATGCACAGTTAAGTAAAACTAAACATTTCCTTACTTTGAGACTTTTCAGGTCTTTGTGACTCTCCATGCATTGGTTTCCCCAAATATGTAGCTTTCCTTAAATGTACTGGATCATAGAGTACTTTTATTTACCAACTCAAGAAAGCATATTGAGTTTCTAGGTCTAACTAATGGTTTATAAAAAATGCAGTGGGTAAAGAACATATTAAATGACACCAGGAGGATTTAATCAGCCATATCCAGAATGTGAGAGATTCTACAAGATAAATGACCAGTTTCTCCAACAACAAAGAAACAGCATTAACAGAAGAGAGTGGGCCAGTTATAGAACAAAAGAGATTTAAGAGAAAAATCACCATATGTAATATGGGGATATTTTGGGAAAATGATCCAAACAAACCAAATGCAAATAGATATTTTTGAGATAAGCAAAACATAATTGAACATGAACTGGGTATTAAAAAATGTAAGCATTGGCCAGGTGCGGTGGCTCACACCTGTAATCCCAGCACTTTGGAAGGCTGAGGTGGGCAGATGACGAGGTCAAGAGATCGAGACCGTCCTGGCCAACGTGGTGAAACCCCATCTCTACTAAAAATACAAAAATTAGCTGGGCATGGTGATGTGCACCTGTAGTCCCAGCTACTCAGGAGGCTGAGGCAGGAGAATCACTTGAAGCCGGGAGGCGGAGGTTGCAGTGAGTGGAGATCGCACCACTGCACTCCAGGGCAAAACTCTGTCTCAAAAAAAAAAAAAAAAAGCAAGCATTACATATTTTAAAACCTATTATTCCTTTTACTCAGTGTGATTATGATTTTTTTTTGTTATCATATACACACAGAAGTAGTAAAGTAAAATAATACAGGAATTCTTGTATATACTGTCGATGCTTTTTTCCTTGATATGAGTGTTTTGTAGGTGGGTATGTTAACTTTATTTTAAAAATGTTCCTAACACTTATGATTTGTTTACTTTCTCTGTAAGTTCTATTTCAAAAATTTTATATATATTTAATATTATATAGGTATGTATATATAATGCATATAGGTGGCTTAATATCAGTTTCTATGGTAAAAGTGTATAGAGTGAAAAATACGCCTTCCTTTCCCTGAAGCCTACTGACCCATTTCTTCTCTCAAAGGCAATGACTATTACCAGCATTCATCTGAAGATACTTTTATTTAATGTGTGTACAAGTATGTCTATGCAAACATGTCTTGGATATGATCCATGTAAGTATACATAGATTTTTAAAATTTTTAGTAGTAACATGTTATTTTATTGTGTGTTTTACCATACATTATTTGACTAGTCACTTAGTGCTGGACAGTTAGGCAGTTTACAGTTTTTGTGACTCTGCATATAAGTCCTTGCCTATAAGTATACTCATGGGTTTTTAAATGTTAACAGATGTTGCCAAATTGTCCTCCAGGATGTCTGTACTAGTTTAGCCTCCATTTCCACTGAGTAATATATATCACAGTGCTCAAGTTCACAGTATACTGAGTCATATATAGTAATGCCCTCAAGAGGGAGGTATTTTCAAAATAAATTCAGGATAAATTGACTTTTGATTATAACTATTCTTACTCAAATACCTTAAACAAGGAAGACACTGCTTACTTGTTTATAAAATTAGTGTAGCGGAATGTCAACTTAAGTACTTCTAGAATTAAAGCTTTTCTCTTCTAAATGGTGTGAAAATAGCTACAGTAATCAAGATTGTGTGGTGCTGGCAGAGAGACTATAAAAGTTGGGTCAATACTATGCACAAGATGTAGTACCAACTGCTTTGAATGTATTGTCTGATTTCCTACTGATACATTTTATAAATGAAGTAACTGAGACTCAGAGTGATTACATAGCAAAGGTGGAATTGGGACCACTTGCAGTCAGTCTGATTCCAGAGCCTGTTTGTTCCACTTCTTCAAGGCAGAAAGTTATGAGCAGGAGGAAATAGAGCTATGGTACATGGCATGAATGGAAGGGCATGGGGAACAGTGGAGGAAAAGTTTGAATGATTAGAGTGGAGTGACAATAAGGAAGAAATTGAAACAGAGATATGTATTTTGGGGTGGGGAAATGAAATGATGAAGGCTGAAGGTAACATGTAAAATCTATTAGTTTGAAAGAGACTGATGTCTGGGGAAAAAAAAAAAAAACGTAGAAAATTATCAAAGAAAATTAGCAGAGACTTGAATGTTACCCAGGCAGAAGGAATTGAGGGTTTGGTCTTGAGACTAAGGAATGAATGGATGCAAGAGAACTCGACTTCATTTGCTCAATTTTGCACGTTTATAGAGTGCTTGCCATGAGCCAAACATGACGCTCAGGGCTAGGACTATAGCATGAACAAGATAGACCCACGCTCTGCAGTCACAGAGCTTACAAAAGGTACCAGCAGGATTTGGTGATGGAATGGAGAGAGGGGTGAAAGAAAAATGGAGATAAAATGGATTATAATTTGAACCTGGAGGTCAAATTCTCAGAAGGACAATTCATATTTCTAATTTCTTATTTGATGTCATTGAGTTTGAGTTTTGAAATAGATATTTTCCTGCTGTATCTTCACAGATGAAAGTTTTACATAAAAGAAAGGATGGGTAAGAACACTATGATGATTGTGTTTTCTTATCTATTTCTAAGAATTGTGATTTCTTATGCATCAGAGACTCTAACATTCTAGTTACAGAATCACTTCTCTTCAGTGGAGCTTGGTTTCTCTAATTGTAAAATACATTGGCTATCTTAAAATTCATTAGGGCCTAACCCTGGCTACACATTAAATTCAGCTGGGGGATTAGAATTACCTGCACATTAGAATTTCCTGGGGAAGATTTTACAGAATACCCAAGCCCAGGACTTACCCAGACCAATTAAACAAGAATTTCTGTTGGTGGTCCCAGGTGGGGGTATTTTTTTTAACTTTCCCAGATTATTTTAATACTCAGCCAGGGTAGAGAACCAAAAGTTGGATAATCTCTAATGTCCTTTCTACGTCTGAAGAGGCCATGATTCTCAAGGACGGAAAATTAAACACTCTTAAGGTTACATTTTATAGATTAATAGGGTGGGAATGAGCTTAAGGTATGGCTGGTTATATATAATAAAAGTATATTTATATTAGTCTAATCCAAGGAAAAGAGATGCTCCTGAAAGAACTATAAAAATAAAAATAGCCAAGTGTGCTGGCTGATGCCTGTAATCCCAACACTTTGGCAGGCTGAGGTGGGAAGATCACTTGAGCCCAGGAGTTCGAGACCAGCCTGGGCAACATGGTGAAACCCTATCTCTAGAAAAAATACAAAAATTAGCTGGTGTGGTGGAGCATGCTTTAGTCCCAGCTACATGGGGGGCTAAAGTGGGAGGATCACTTGAGTCCAGGAGTTTGAGACTGCAGTGAGTCACGGTTACACCACTGAACTCCAGCCTGAGTGACAGAGCAAGACCCTGTCTCTAAAAAATAAAAATGTATTTAATTAGTTCAATCCAAGGAAAAGAGCAGCTCTTGAAGGAAACTTTGGATCTTATCTGGCTGCAAAAAAGGAGAAGCACAGAAACACATCCAGTATTTGTGTGTGTGTGTGCATATAAACTATACACACATAAAATTTTACCAACACTCACAGAAATATTGGATTAATTCCTAGCTGCATAATGGGCTGTAATTTGATGTTTTTCCCATTAGATGGAGCTATATCTTTGTTAAGAAGATGCTATAAATTTCTAAAAGGGATGTTTTACAGATGATGAATTTCCCAGTGAAACAGGAAAGAACTATTACAAAAGTGTATGATATAAATTGCTTTTAAAATAGCCATGTTATATCTAACCCTTGAAATACCTTGAATTGTTCATCTGTTTGGCTTTGCACAGGCTTTATATCTAACACTCTGTGGATATTAGCATACTTAATAAAACTTTGTTTTCTGTGTTTCCCTTCAAAAAAGCCCAAATTAAACTCTACATCTGGAATAGTAGCTGTTAATAGTATTTCAGTTAGGATACTTTTAGATATGAGCCCTACAACCTTTTATTTGCAGTTTCAAATCACAAGAGGCACATTTCACAAATTAAAAAAAACAAAACAAAAAAAAAACAGACATTCATTTGACCTAAACACTGAGTGAGAAAGAGAAGAGAGAGACAGGGAGAGAGAGTTTTGTTTCTCCCTATTTTGTCCAGATTCATCTTGAACTCCTGACCTCAAGTGATCCTCCTGCCCTAGCTTCCCAAAGCCCTAGAATTACAGGAGTGAGCCACCACACCTGGCCTGAATATGTATACTTTTTAGTATAAGTATGTTCCATGCAATGTTTAGGACATATACTAAAAGATTACTTCTCCCTACCCTACCGCTACCACCACAAAAACCAAACACAACCACAATAATCACTATTATTTGTTGATTATCTGAAATTCAAATTTAACTGAGCAGTCTGTATTTTATCTTGCAAGCCTATCTAAAAACCCAAGAGTTTTGAAACTATTTGATGGCAAAATGTAACTTACAGCTGAGGCTATGTATAGTCTTTACTTACTGTTAATGTTTATATGCATCACTGTACCGTTATATGTGTTAATGTTTTCGATAATAGGCACTGCTCCAGATTCCACTGGGAATGTTACATAATACATGATATTTGTACCATATTATCTTTTTAGAATAAAAAAGCACTGAATTCCAAAATATATTTGTCTCCAGTACTTTGGGAAAATATATTGTGAGCCGATAATAAATTTCTAACTTTGTAAGCAAGAAAAATAAGTATGCAAGAAGTTATTTCTGAAGTGCTGTATGAAATTTTTTAAATTTTAATATTACTTCATTATTATTAATAGAACTGGAAATAGCCATCTAATTTCTTTTTTAAAAGAGTCTCTTACACATGGACACAGGGAGGGTAACATCATATACCAGGGCCTGTTGGGGGGTGGGGGTCAAGGGGAGGGGGAGCATTAGGACAAATACTCAATGCATGAGGACTTAAAACCTAGACGACAGGTTGATGGGTGCACCGAACCACCATGGCGCATGTACACCCATGTAACAAACCTGCATGTTCTGCACATGTACCCCAGAACTTAAAGTGAAAAAACAAACAAAAAAGATGGGTCTCTTAATTTTTTGCTGTCTTCAAAGAAGCCAGGAAAAGAATGAGTCAGACAAGGCACCTATAGTCCAAACTGAAAGAACTAAAGGAGAAACCATTGTCCTCCTCCAAAGCAAAGTCACCACAGGCCCCGAAAGATAGGTGGCCATTTTTTCTTTCCTTCAAGCAAAACAAACCGTGAGAAAGAAAACTGGCTAAATGTCTTCACATTATATTCCATAATGTTGTTACTTTGCTACTTAGGAAATGCTTTATTTCATTTTATTTTATTTTATCTGTTTGTGAGATAGTTTCACTCTTGTTGCCCAGGCTGGAGTGCAATTGTGCAGTGGCTCACTGCAACATCTGCCTTCAGGGTTCAAGTGATTCTCCTGCCTCAGCCTCCAGAGTAGCTGGGATTACAGGCATGCACCACCACGCCTGGCTAGTTTTGTATTTTTGTAGAGATGGGGTTTCTCCATGTTGGTCAGGCTGGCCTCGAGCTCCTGACCTCATGTGATCTGCCTGCCTTGGCCTCCCAAACTGCTGGGATTATAGGCCTGAGCCACCGAGCCCAACCCAGGAAATGCTTTCTAATTTGTCTTAAATCTGTCTGCTTTCAGTACATGTTTAATAGAGTCAATGTTGATGACCATTAAAGCACTGCTTACCAATGTTCTCACAAATATGCCTTTTTACTTCATTAAGTACCTATTGATTTTCCCCTCAGATTTCTATTTCCAGTTTAAATCATCTCAATTCCCTTCAGAATTTTTCATTGTAGCCATTTCTCAAACATTATTATGATTCTAAAACAACTAGCATTAATCTTCTATGCATTAGTATATTAAAAGCTTAATATATAGGAGGATTACCTCTCTGCAGTTATTATACACCAAGACTTATGCTTCAAAACAGTCTCAGTCTACAATGTGTCCACTAGGTTTTTTTCTACTAAATCTCTTCGTATCAAATCAGTTTCTTCTAATAAATTCGAAAAATGGGTTTTTCGTAATGTTCTCTTTTCTTTCTTTTTTTTAGATTTTTATTTATTTTATTTTAAAATAAATGTTAATGAACAAGAGGGACAGAAAACACCGGTGGCTGCTAGGGGGTCAGAGACAAGATCGAGTACAGGGGCCAGAGGGGACTGTCCTGAGTGATGGAACTGTCCTGCCTAGTGATTGGTTATAAAACCATACATTTGTCCAAATTCACAGACTAGACTAAAAAGGGTGATTTTACTGAATGTAAATTATAAACTTTTTTATTTTTAAAAAAGAAATCATGAAGGCCAGGTGTGGTAGCTCATGCCTGTAATCCTAGCATTTTGGGAGGCCAAGGCAGACCACTTGAGGTCAGGAGTTTGAGACTAGCCTGGCCAACAAGGTGAAACCTGGTCTCTACTAAAAATATAAACATTCATCAGGTGTGATGGCACACGCCTGTAATCCCAGCTACTCGGAAGGCTGAGCAAGAGAATCGCTTGAACCTGGGGGGCAGAGGTTACAGTGAGCCCAGATCGCGCCACTGCACTCCAGCCTGGGCACCAGAGAATCTGTCTTTAAAAAAAAAAATAAAAAAGAAAAGAAAAAGAAAAAGGAAGATAATGAAAAAAGAAGAACCAAACATTTACCCTATGTGAGAAAAAAACAATTGGGTTTATGATAGGTTTGCTCTTATAGACAGTAAAAACAAATGCCAGGAATTTAAAGCAAAGAACAGTAAAATGAGAACGATCTTAAACATACAAAGTGTTTCAAAATTATTTTTTAGAACAACATGCTTATACAAGAGGTAAGACTTATTTTTGTATTTGATTTGATAATTTGACTTGGAATTTTTCTGTGGGAATAAAACTGCTTGCCCAGCTAATTTTTTTTTTGTATTTTTAGTAGAGACGGGGTTTCACCATGCTGACCAGCATGGTCTCGATCTCTTGACCTCGTGATCCACCCGCCTCGGCCTCCCAAAGTGCTGGAATTACAGGCTTGAGCCACCGCGCCGGGCCGAACAACTTTTCTTAAAAGACAAAAATTCAAATGTAACATACGTCCAGCTAAAACTGAATCTAGCTGTTTATAAGAACTGATTCCAAAATATAAAAATATGAAATTTACATAACTGATATGTAGAAGCTTTTCAAAATTGATTGTAAATTTAAAAGTTAAGATTGGTCTTGCCTCTGAAGTCTGGAGCTGCAGATCAGCCAGCAATGGCTGCCTGTCTCGGCTTTCTTGGTGCCTGAGCTGCAGAGTGGGCCTCTGGAGGGGCTGTTGCCTGGGTCACTCTTCCTCTGGCTGTTTGTGGTAGGTGCATGAGGCACTCTGTGTTGGCCTGGAAAGAATCCCACGCACTGGAAGTCTGTGAAGAAGCGAAGACGCCAAAGGCGTACAGTGTTGTGTATACTTGGAGACAGTGGAGCGGGCCCAGGGCAGTCCTCCCCAGGCTGGGTTTTTTTTGTTGTTGTTGTTTGTTTGTTTTTTCATATCTTTGGCTGTAATTTTATAAATCCCGTTTATTTTGAAATATTCATATGATTTTGACATTAACTCAAAATACACAGAAATTACTTGTATCTGCCTATACATTTAGAAGAATACTTAACAATCAGTATTTATGCATGCCAAATAAAACTTTTCCCAATTTTTAAAATTATTTTTAAAAATAAGCCAATTTCGGCCGGGCGCGGTGGCTCAAGCCTGTAATCCCAGCACTTTGGGAGGCTGAGGCGGGTGGATCACGAGGTCAAGAGATCGAGACCATCCTGGTCAACACGGTGAAACCCCGTCTCTACTAAAGCTACAAAAAATTAGGTGGGCATGGTGGCGCGTGCCTGTAATCCCAGCTGCTCAGGAGGCTGAGGCAGGAGAATTGCCTGAACCCAGGAGGCGGAGGTTGCAGTGAGCCGAGATTGTGCCATTGCACTCCAGCCTGGGAAACAAGAGCGAAACTCCGTCTCAAAAAAAAAAATAAATAAAAAAAAAATAAGCCAATTTATATTGGACATTTGGGTTATATGTGCATATAAAAGTCATATTCCTCAGCTAGTCTAACTGACCACAGATAGACTAGCATACAAGTGTTCTTTCTGGATGGAATTAAGTTTCAGAGGCAAAGTGGTTCAGATGGGAGCAAATGAGCTGACCTCCTCATGAAGTAAACTCGACAAAATCAAGAAGTATTAAAGGTGCTAATGACTGATTCCATACATCTTTCTGTCTTCTCTATCTTTTCAATATACAAGTATGCACTATGGATGTGTATAAATTAAAACACTTCTATACTGTGAGCTCCTACGGAGGTGCTACTGTGAATACATAAAAGGCCCTGGGGAAGAGAGAAGTAGCGCAGGGGAGCAGAGGGCATCTGCCCTCCATCAGGCCATCCACACAAACCTGCTGAGGAGGTAGACTCGATGATCTAGGTCTCAACGGGCTTAGATGTTGACCTGGACCTTCAAGTGGGGTTTTCCTTCATTGTATTTTATGTTGTTTGTTCAACTATTTTTGTAATTGGGGCAAAGTGAGATGTTCAACTAGTCTAAGAATGCTTTACATACCCCATAAACTGTCTGAATCAAAGGTTTTTATTTATTCTTCTGCCAATCACCACTGATTTCCACCTAGAATTATTTTGTAAGGTAAGAAACAGTTAAGTCAACTGAACAAAGAGCTGGGGCTTTGGGCTCTGGAACATTATTACACACTAACTGGGAAACGCAGGGCCTCAGGGTGGGGTCTAGTCAGGCTGACTGCAGCAGGGCACAAACCTGCCTCAGTGGGCCTTCTCCAAGAATGCTCTGCAGCACCTGACACACTGCTGGTACACCGCCTCAAAGTCAGAGTCATTCCCATAATAAGGATCTTCAATAATAAGTTGTTTTTGTGGATCATAGCTCCCAAGTAGTTCAATTTTAGCTTTGCAGGTTTTAACTTGATTACTTTTTCTATTCAAATCTCTCAGATTGCCTTCATCCATACATAGTATATAATCAAATGTGGCAAAATCTTCTTTGGTAATCTGTCTTGCTTTATGGGCTGTGTGAATGCCATGATTTCTTAGGCAGCTCACAGCTCTTGGGTCTGGGGACCGGCCCACGTTCCAGTCAGAAACAGCACCACTGTCAATGACCCAATTCTCTGAGATGTTTTGATCAGTTACAAGTTTCCTGAAAACTGCTTCTGCAATGGGTGATTGACAAATGTTACCCAGACACACAAACAGCACGGACTTGGTAACCGGCTCCGCCATCTTCCCGCGCGTAGTGGCCCCCAGGCTGGTTTTTAAAGCACTTTTTTGGTTTAGGATTCAGCTTCATCATGGTCACTTTCATTATCATTGTCATTCTCCTCATCTTCTTCCCTCTTTTCCTCTTTAAGCATTTTTGGGTATTTACTAGCTAAAATCTTCTTTGGTAATATATCTGCAAGAAACTGAAAAGTCTCTGATTCCTCTGCAGTGTTTGCTAAATCACTGTAAGTCAGTACTTTCTTTTCCTTTCCAATGCTATGTCTGTAGGAATAGGCGGCTAGACATTGAACAAAAAGCTCCGTGGTCTTGGCTGTGAGCACCAGCGTCTCCTGGCTGATGGGGGACACCTCGGGGGAGCTCTTCATGATGACCCGGATGCGGTACAAGGGCAGCGAGACGAGCCGCTGCTCCCCGCACTTGTCTTTGCCCACGATCACGTCCGCCACCTTCCCGCCCCTAGCGCGAAGTGGCTGTCCTGCCCGGCCAGCCGGGGGGTGCGGGGAGCAGCGCCCGCTGCCCCTGTTCTCTTTTTCTGTTACAAAGACACACACACGTATGCATTTTCCCTTTATCTTCCAACTTTCTAAATGTTATTATACCCTTGTGTTGTCAACAAATTTGTGGTAATATCTTTTTTTTTTTTTTTTTTTTTTTTTTTTTTTTGCGACGGAGTCTTGCTCTGTCGCCAGGCTGGAGTGCAGTGGCGCAATTTCGGCTCACTGCAACCTCCGCCTCCTGGGTTCAAGCGATTCTTCTGCGTTAGCCTCCCAAGTAGCTGGGACCACAGGAGCCTGCCATCACGCCTGGCTCATTCTTTTGTATTTTTAGTAGAGACGGGGTTTCTCCATGTTGGCCAGAATGGCCTCGATCTCTTGACCTCATGATCCGCCCGCCTCAGCCTCCCAAAGTGCTGGGATTACAGGCGTGAGCCACCGCGCCCGGCCCGTGATCTACGGCTGTAATCCCAGCACTTTGGGAGGCTGAGGCGGGCGGATCATGAGATCAAGAGGTCTAGGCCATCCCGGCCAGCATGGTGAAAGGCAGGAGACTCGCTTGAACCAGGGAGTCAGAGGTTGCAGTGAGCCCAGATTTCGCCACTGCACTCCAGCCTGGGACAGAACAAGACTCTGTCTGAAAAAAATAAGAAATAATAATAATAATAGTAGTAGCCTTTAGTTATGCATGTATAAAATGCATCATATCATACCAAAAGGGAAACAGGTCTTGTTTAGTACCATTGCATGAAATGGTCTGTATATATGGATGTCAAAACATGTACAAAAAATATATACTATATGATATAGATACATTAACACAGATTTGACCACAGTAGATGAATAATTTCATATTTTTGTTACAAATTATAAATTTTGTTATAATTACATTTTGTAATTTTGTATTTTTAAGTTAATATTATAATGTAATCATTGTCCCAGCAAATACAACTTTTAATGGGTCCCTCATGTGGATTTACCATAATTTGCTTAAATAATTTCTCTGTCATGGAACATTTAAGCTACTTACAATTATTTACTACTAAAAACAGTAGGGCAGTGAACATTATGTTAGTTTTTAAACACTTAGGGTTCTTTAGGATAGATTTCCATTAATTGACTTGTGAGGTAAAAGAATGAGGAATAATTTAAGGGTCTTGAAAAATAGTACCGAGTTTTTTTCCCAAAAGGATTATGTCAAATGGTAGTCTTGTTAGCAGTATATTAAAATGGGTCTTGCTTGCAATTGTCAGGTACCTAAATAAGGTGATCCTTTTCTTAACTTTTTCATATGACTCTCTTACTTGAGATTTTTATTTAAAGAAGACTAAGAGTATTATCTGAAAATGGCTAAAGTTACCTTTGTTATGAATATATGCAGTTTACTGAACCCAGTATTTATCTATGGCTTTTAATGAATATAGAATTCGAAGTATAGAGAGTTTCTGATGTCATTCTAATCCCTCTTCGTTACTGAATGGTGAAATCCATAGTGAAACTGAATCAAAGTGACTGATACACTGCATGGAGGCACATGGACAGCCTTTGTGACCTTTGGAAGCAGAGAAATTGAGGGCAAACAGCCTGTCAGTTCTACCTTACTAACTTAGCACTGCAGTTCCTTGTGGTGGTCATCGGACCTGATCTCAAATACCTTCTTTCCCTCTTTCTGCACATGAGACCGCACATTTCCAACTCCCTCTAAAGTTAACTGTGGGCATTTTGCTTGCTTGGGCCAGTGAAGTGTGAGAGGAAATTGACACAGGTCACTTCCGGGTGGAAACTTTAAGAGGTAATGTATGTTTTGCCACTTTCCTTTTTCATGCCTTGGTGATTGTGGAAGCAATGTTGAGATGAACATTCCATCAGCTTGGGTCCCTAAGAGATTATAGTGAGCAGAGCATCCTTGCCAATCTGCAATGGATATATAAGTTTGAGCAAGATATTAACATCTATCATTTTAAGCTCCTGAGATTTTTTTTTAAAGTTATTTGCTTATGCAACAAAATCTAGCCCATACTGACTGATACACTCCTTACAATCCAGTTGCATATGGGAGAATGGTTTCTTTCTCCACCTAAGGTGATTCAAAATATGTGGGTAATCTCATTCCTGTGGATAGTTTCCTAGGAACTTCCACCTCCAGTGCCTTTACAGCCCTTTTAATCTCCAAAGAGCATATGCCATTTTTCTTCTGATCATACCATACCTAGATTTTGCCTTGGAAACTGTTTCCTCTGTTTGAAGGTAAGAAAACCGCATTCTTTTTTGTTCTATGCAAAGATGTAGAACAAAACTAGGAGTGTGATGCAGGGAAGACGTTGAAAGTTTATGTCAGGACTCACTTCACTAGTATTTCCCCATAACTGTGATTGGCCCCCATTTTTCCTTCACTCAGGTTCATTTATTGTTATCCTTCTAAATCCCATGGTTGTTCACAACTCAGGCAAGTCATGGTTCCCTTCTTTGATAAAGAATAATAACTTTCTCTTTTTGCAGTTCTCAAGGCAAATTTTAAATTATAGAATCTTTACCAACTGTATTTCTACTTCTGTGGCCCCACCACACAGTTTATTTGCTACTGCATGTGTCTTTATAAATGCCAGAGGTTAAGAATATTTCATTCACTGTTATTCTGCATAAATATCTAATGCCTGAAAATTGTTTTTTTTTTAACGCAACTCTGATAGATGGGATAGATAGGCTGTCCTAATTTTTTTCAAAGAGGCAACTTCCACAGTTGGATTTGACATTGAGATATTCTCCTTCATTATTAAAACAAAAAGACAAACAAAACCAATTCTGTGGTTATTTCCTGTCTTGAATATGGAAACCATCCCCGTATCTATAGCTGTCTGAATTTTGATGTTTGGGCATTTTGCATCCATTTATGTGAGGGTTAGACAGATGTCTTATCTGTGTATGAGGAAATGACATGATACAATAGTTTAGAATGAAACCCCGGAGAGAAGCTTGGTTTGTACTCCCGACATTCTTTATTGCAAACTTGGGGTGATGAAACCTATCACAAAGGCTTGTTGTGAGCACTTAATGTGACTGTAATAAGGGAAAATAACATTGTTATTCACAGCCCCCATCACTTTTTAAACAAGGTGTTTGATTTGCTGATAACTGGATATATAAGTATGCAGGTTTCGGGTGACAGATTGGAGGAAGGAAAATATATCAGTGGGTCTGGGGGCACTATGAGGGATGAAGGAGACAAGGAAAGCCCCAGCTGGCAGCAAAGCTGGAGAGTTGGGGGAAGATGGTCAGCTCTGATGAGGATGTTTGCAGGAATTGGATGAGGATGTGTAATGTAAGACCTCTTTAGTGTTTCCTTTTTGAAATTTTTAATAAAGTCTATTTTTTAAAATCTTGAAATGCTGAGAATGATTCTGCTTCTTGTCTAAAAATGGTATGGAGGGCTACGTTCTTACAGGCATTAGGCTAAAATAGTCAGTCTGCAAAGAAGGAGTAATAGCTTCCATCTTCATTATAAATGAAAACAGTTCACTGCATGACAAATCAAGGAGATCTAAAAATCTCTCTACATCCACTGTCTGAGAGAGAAGGAGGTGTTTTGTAACAGGGAACAAGAGTGGACATTTATAGTATCTGAACAGTGTTATATTTGCAGAGGTCTGTGATACAGCAATTAGATACTGAAGTAGCTGGCAATTAGCAATGAAGTTAAAGAAGACATTGTTTCTTAAAGTCTGAGATTTGGACAATTGGAGACAGAAAGACTAAGGATTCAAGTACAGTATAAAGAAATCAAGTGCTAGAGTGAGGACTCAGACTGCCATGTAATGTGGTCCATTGTGCATAGAGAGGGGGCTGTGGCTGATACTGAACTAGGTTATGAGAGAATGCAAGAATCTGGACAGGACCGAGGCTTCCAGAGGAGTTTCTCTAACCATTTATGGTTCATCATTCTTCTGTATCCTAGAGTAAACACTTTGGGGGGAATACAGTTGTGTTTGTAAACTATATAGTGGTTGTTTTGCTTGTTTTGCATTTAAAACATTGTTTTAAATGTTTATTAACTTCATCATAAATCATTTCTTAATGTGGGATCAGTTCTTAATCAAACTTTTAACAAAATTCTAGAAAAGACATGTAGGTACCTAATTTATATGGATACAAGATTACATTTATGACTAAGCTTCTGAATCATAGAACGTAGATTAGATAAGAAGCCATCCTCATGAAAACCTGTCTCAAAACTCATCATTGTGTCATGCACTTGTGAATTGCACTTCCATGTGTGTTTGGTAGCCCAGGATTTTCTTTTCAATATCCTTCCTCCTATTTATAAAAGTAATAAGCACTATAAAAATAAACACTATAAAAACAATACAAAATAGTTGGTTTGAGGGTTTCAGGTTACTGTTAAGCTGAGTAACATTGTCTCCCTTCACAACCATGCTTGACTGGTTTTTTAAAAATATAAAATGGGAAAGCCTAAAGAAGAAATTGAAAATCATTCTTAATCTCACCATCTAGATATAAACATTTTGTA